ACCACTTAATCCTCACGAGGGTCATAGGGGGCTGGAGTCTATCCCAGCTGGCGAAGGCAGGGGACACCCTGGACAGGTAACCAGTCTATCACAGGGCTACACTTATAGACAGACAACCAAGCACACTCACATTCACACCTACAGACAATTTAGAATCACCAGTTAACCTCAACATGTTTTTGGACTGTGTGGGAGGAAGCTGGAGAACCCGGAGAGAACCCACGAGAACATGCAAACTCCACACATCAAGAGTTCAGGTGTCCTCACCGGGATGCGAACCGACGACCTTCTAGCTGCGAGGCAACAGTGCTAACCACCGAGTCACCCTGCAGCCCCTGATTTAACCATTTCTTTATCATTTTTAATGTGTGTTTGGAGTCATTGTCTTGTTGAAAATCCCAGTTATGTCCAAGATCCAACCTTCTGCTGATGGTTTTAAGTTTACCTGAAGAATGTGGAAGAATTACTCCTTCTTCAATGTTCTGCTCACTTTTTATAAAACAAAGTCCCATAAATAGTAAAACAGACCCAGAGCATGATGCTGCCACCACCGTGCTCTGGATTAAGGTCCTCACCCTCTGTCCTCCAAACATATTTCTGCTCCTTGTGGCCAAATAGATACATTTTTGTTCTGACCACAGAACTTACCTCCAGAAGGCCTTTTCTCTGTCCATGTGATCAGCAGCTAACTTCAGTTAGGCGTTGAGGTTGTGCTTTTCATAGCAGCCTCTGACAGCTGTATCCCAGCAACTTCTAATCTGCTTTTTGGTGATTCTTGTTTGTTTCTTGACCATCCTGACCTGCCGTCTTTCATCAGCAGGTGATAGCTTGTGTTTTTCTTCCCTGATCGTAGCAGTAACACAACTGTACCATGAACTTCATACTTAGCTGTTTGCACAGATGAGTTTGGGATCAGTCGCTGCTTTGAAATGCCTCTAAGTAGCGTGTTCATCATTTGCTTTTTCAGATCTGTACTTAGCTCATTGGGCTTTTGAATTAATTTAAACGATAAAAACTTGTTTTATTTATTTTTTTTCCCTTTGGTGAGTTTAACTGCGACCATAAGATGATTGTTAAATCCACAAATAGTTAGTCTGGTGCCTGAAGAATGTAATCATACACCATTATAATAAAAAAGCCAATTTGCAATATAACATCATGGCACTCAGTGGGGCTGCTCTGTAATTATCCAGTCCCAAAGCCACCAACACAATCTCTGAGCTAATCTTATTGTAAGACTCGTTACTAATAATTACACATAATTGAAAAAGATTATTTTTTAATCAGAGACATGTTTGATTGTTACACCGAATGCCCTTTAACCGTTTCAGTGACAAATGAATCGGCCTCCCTGTTTGAACACAAATACCTGAGCTGGATATTTAGAACTTCTCTATTTCAGCTCGACTTTAAAGTGTTTCACTTGTACTTTAATCCATAATTATTACTGAAGCTAAATAGAAGCTGACTGTATTCACTGACGATCCTTGATTTCAATTCTGGACAATAATATGTTCTTTGAAAATCTAAAACTAAATGAACCCTGATTGTGTTTTACAAAATATAATTCCTCTACTTTTAAAAAATATTTTCCAGGTATTTAGCACCGTTTTACCTCACTGTTGTATTTAATGTTCCATAAATGTAAAGTAACTGTAACTTCCAACAAACCCAGAAGTTGTTTTTTGAAAACGTCTGTGCATGTTTGTGTCATGCATGATTTTTAAATTAACTTTATATTTAATAAGGAAAAGTAATACATTTGGCTACTGAAGTGAAATAAAACATAAACGTTTGGCAACATTTTGTTATTTTAAGTTTATTGCACTTCTCATTTATTGTTCATTCACTCATACTGCTGCAGTATTGCTGCTGATGCTGTGATATCTGGGTCACTGTCACATTGCTTCCTGGGAAATGAATGTCAGTGATGTTCACGCTTCCTAATAGGACAAGTCCAATTATCTTCTGTTGAGTTATTCATCAAAAAAAAAGCTGATAGCAAGAGTTCATTAGGTTTAGGTAAGTTTTCTCTTTCTGGGAATGTTGTTGTGATCTTTTGGTGCACACCTGTAAACACTAACAACTACACAAAGAGTTATTTTTCTTTGTTTTCTCCCAAAAGTAAGAGTTACAAGACAAATAAGCAGCAAGTGTTGGAAATGAAATGAAATGAAAAATACTTTATTTATCCCAGAAGGGAAATCCAAGGAAGTGTACATGTAATAGAAATATTTATAGTGTGCAGGAATTGCAAATTATTCCCCTCACATGAAAAAGAGAGCACATTTAAACATGAAGTAGGGTCTCTGTGTCTTTTCCCAGGAAGTTTTGAGCGTCAGACGCTTACATTTCTGTGGTCTGGTGACTGTTTATGCATCAGTTTGGAAACCATCAAATTGAGAAACCAGTGAAAATTCAAAATATAAAAGAACATAAAGCAAGGAGGCTCTGTCATACTGGAATGCTTTCAAATAACCATTCTCCTATAGATCAGTTTTCTATTTGCTGTTATTGCTGCTGAGTGTCCACACATACAGTCATGATTTACTGTCTTCTTTTGGGGATGTAACCTTTCTAGATGTGCACGTGGCCCCGGTTCACATTGAAATTAATTATTTTTTTATTGTTTATAACCTCCTGGACTTTAACACACTCACACACAGTTGAAACCATGAGTTTAAATACACTGAATAAAAAGACACTCGTTTTTTCTCACTGTCTGACATTAAATCAGACTAAACTTTTCCTGTTTTAGGTCGGTTAGGATTACAAACATTATTTCTATTTGCTAAATGCCAGAATAATGAGAGAGAGAGATTTTTTTAGAGCATTTTTATTACTTTCCTCAAAGTCAGAAGTTTACATACACTAAGATTACTATGCCTTCAAACTACTTTGGAAAGCCCAGATGATGATGTCATGGCTTTGGAAGCTTTTGTTGAGTCATTATCCACAGTGAAACCAGTCCTGTACCGACATGGGCTGAAAGGATACTCAGAGAGGAAGAAGACATTACTCCAAAAGAAAACCTAAAAAAGCCAGATTACAGTTTAAATGCACACAGAGACAAAGATCTTCATTTCTGGAGACATGTCCTGTGGTCTGATGAAACTAAAACTGAACTGTTTGGCCTTAATGACCATCTTTACATTTGGAGGAGAAAGGAGGAAGCTTGAAGCCTGAGAACACCATCCCAACTGTGAAGCACGGGGGTGGCAGCATCATGTTGTGGAGGGTCTGGTGCACTTCACAAAATAGATGGCATCATGAGGAAAGAACATTATGTGGAAATATTGAAGCAACATCTCAAGACATCAGCCAGGAAGTTAAAGCTTGGGTACAAATGGGTCATCAGATGGACAATGACCCTAAACATACCGCCAGATTAGTAACAGAGAGGCTTCAGGACAACAAAGTCAATGTTTAGGAGTGGTCATCACAAAGCCCTGATCTCAATCCTGGAGAACATTTGTGGGCAGAGATGAAAAGGAGTGTGGAGCAAGACGGCCAACAAACCTGACTCAGTTCCAGCAGTTCTGTCAGTAGGAATGGACCAGAACTCATCAAACTATTGTGAGAAGCTTGTGGAAGGAAACCCAAAACGTTTGACCCAAGTCCAACAGTTTAAAGGCAACGCTACCAAATACTGAGGAAATATGTGTCAATGCTTTAAAGAAAGCAACAAAAAAAATAAAAATAAAAATCTCTCTCTCATTGTTCTGGTGTTTAGCAAATAGAAATAATTTTTGTAAACCTAACTGACCTAAAACAGGAAAAGTTTAGTCTGATTTAATGTCAGACAGTGAGGGAAAAACGATAGTTTTTTTTATACAGTGTGTGTAAACTTCTGACTTTAACTGTGTGTACCTGCATGGTTTTTGCTCATGTTCAATCTGCACATTCAGAGCTAATTAAACGTGTCTGTTTGTGTCATGCTGAGGTGAAATGTCCATGCTGGAGACATTTGTGCGTCAACAGTGAACATGTCTTCTGCTTCCACCCTTATTTATGATCAATCCTGCTTATTAGCGATCAGTACAGTTAAATAGTTAAAACAGAAAAAAAGACTAAAATTGAAAATGAACGCACAAGCTGCTCAAGTCTAATTAAAGTCCTTTATGTACTAAGTTAGTGGTCGCAGCTGCTCCAGAGCGCACGTTGCTGGTTATTGGCTGCGCGGCGCTGCGTCATTTCCTGACAGAGGACGGTCAGAGCCGCTGTCTTCAGTCTCTGTAGTAACGTCTGAAGCGGACACACGGAGCTGCAGGAGAACAACAACACCGCCAACAAACAAACGTCGCTTGTTTCGCGCAAACACAACTGGATATATACACGTTTTTACGCGCGCTGCGTCGTTTGGAACTAAGAGCGTGAGCGGATCGGGATACTGTGAACTCCTCCGGACGCAGGGCAGGAGCACACAAATAACTTTTTTTTCTCCTCCTTTTTCTCTTTTCTCTGCGTCGAGGGAATTTCTCTTGTTGCATCGGTTGCGCAACAGTGGACCAAATATACGTGCAATTTTCAGTTGTGGTGTTTGTTTGTCGAGCCCCGGAGAGGCGGACACCAGAGAAGCGGCAGCTCGGCGGCCACCTGACCTCCTGGAAAATAAGACGGCAGCTAATGACACGCAGGCTCAGAGCTTTACGTGGCGCATTACTGAGCTCTGTGACGGAGCGGGACGAGTCTCCACGAGGCTGTTGCATGTCCTGCCCTGACGCACCGCCTCGCATGTGAAGTTTGCAGACTACGGTTTGGCGATTGGATTTAACGGTAACTGCTAATTAATTAGTGCCAGGTGGGAAAATAAATTACTTGGACTCGATTCAAATTGCGCGTGTCGTTCGTCTGCCGGAGCCATGAGTCTAACCGGAGCGCAAGTCCTCCAGCGGTCGTGATGCTGCCGAGCGCCGGTGTGATCGCGCGCCACCAGCCCGTAATGCGCCCCCTCTAACCCCCGCACCAGTGTGGCGCCGCGTCCCGGTCACCCCGCCAGGATGAGCAGCACCGACCTGGAGCGCATGTCGCTCAGCTCCTCGGCAAACTCCCTGGCCTCCAGCGCTCGGACGCTGTCGGCCAACGTGAGGAAGCTGCACAACGCGCTCAACCTCCTGCTCAACGACTTCGAGAGGGAGCAGTTCATCCACTGCCTCAACGTGTACCACTCCAAGCGCAACGTGTACGACCTGGTGCAGACCCTCAACGTCATCCTCAACGCGCCCAGCAAGCGGCAACTTCTGCCCATGCTGCGGCTGGTGATCCCCCGCTCCGACCAGCTCCTGTTCGAGCAGTACACCTCGGAGGGCCTCTACTTGAAATCGGATTTAGTTGCGAGCAATGGCAACGCCGAGCCGCCGCCGGGCGACTTCCCCAGCGCCAGCCCGACGCCCCCCGGGCATTTCTCGCCAAACAACCCGCCGGAGTTCCAAGTGGCGCTGCGGGGCTCGCCGGACAGCTTCAGCACCAGCAGCGACGGGACAGCTCCTCTGGTGCCGCTGCTCGGGAGGAACTTTATCCACGAGCCGCCCGGAGAGCTGCGGCAGGTCACCATGAAGCGGCACAAGAGCAACGAGGGCCTCGGCTTCAGCATCCGCGGAGGCTCGGAGCACGGCGTCGGCATCTACGTGTCTCTGGTGGAGCCGGGGAGCCTGGCGGAGAAAGAGGGGCTCCGGATCGGGGACCAGATCATGAAAGTCAACGATAAAGTCTTCGAGAAAGTCACCCACGCCGAAGCAGTAAAGGTAAGTTTCTGTTTTCTGGTCACAGACTGCACATGCATCCAGCCCGCAGCATCATGGGAGCTGCTGGCTCTGACCTCTAAATCTACTCCTCCTCTGTCTGATGAGCTGCTGCTCCATGCTGATGATGTCTGTTGTTAAAACACAGGCCCAGTTTGTTGATGGGAGTCACTCTGCTGCCTGGAAGCTGTTGTGCTTCTTTGTACTGTCCGTGTTCATGTGTTAGTGTGTACTACTACTTCTAGGAAGCTGTAACCAGACACCTTCAGAGCAGCTGGTAACCGTAGAGGTCTACCCCAGCTACAGTCTGTTTGTTCTAATAAGGTTCTGAGAAGGTTCTAGCAGTGGTTTTAGTGCGAAGTTCTGTTGTAATTCCCTGGATGTTCCCAATAGAGGTGGGATGACTCCAGAAAGGTTTTCTGAGTGTTGCATTGTGAATTTACCTTTCTTTGTCATCATCCTGGAACGTTGTGTGAATGTTTTCTACAAGAACGTGTTCCCTCAGCAACTTAGCAGGCAGATTGTTCCACGTTCTGTCATCTGAGGCCTCGATAACATCTAGAAAACACGTTTTTCATGTTTCAACCTTCCTCTTTTTGTTATCATGGAACCTGATCCAATAGCATCCTTTAATGTTCTAAGAAAATAACTTTATAAACAAAAGTCACGTTCTAAGAAAGTTCTAGCAATGGATTTAGTGGGAAGTTCTGTTTCATATCCCAGAATGTTCCTATTCAAGGTGGGATAGCTACAGAAATGATGCATTAAGTTGCATTCAGAATTTAGCTCTTTTTTTTGTTGTCATACTGGAACATTGTGGGAATGTTTTCATGTAGAACGGTCTGCAATGTTTTTCTTCAACAAATTTGCAAGCAGAATGTTGCACGTTCTGTCATCTGAGGTCTTGATAACATTTAGAAACCATGATTTTGAATGTTGATTTGAAAATGTTCTTCCTTTGTTATCATGGAACATAATCTGACAACATCCTCCAACGTTCTAAGAAAGTTCTAGCAATGGTTTTAGCGGGAAGTTCTGTTTCAGTTCCCAGAATGTTCCTATTCAAGGTGAGATTGACAGAAATTGTGCTCTAGATCAGTATGCTTCAACATTCAAGTTTTCTGATTGTTGCATTGAGAATATTCTTTCTCCGTCACAATAGTGGAATATTGTGGGAACGTTTTCTTGAAGAACGTTCTGTAATGTGTTTCTTGAACACATTTGCAAGCAGAATGTTCCACGTTCTGTCATCTGAGGTCTTGATAACATCTAGAAAACATGATTTTGATTGTTGATTTGAAAATGTTCTTCCATTTGTTATCATGGAACTTAATCTGAAAACATCCTCCAACGTTCTAAGAAAGTTCTAGCGATGATTTTAGTGGGAAGTTATGTTTCAGTTCCCAGAATGTTCCTATTCAAGGTGGGAGAACTGCAGAATTTATGCTCTAGATCAGTATGCTCTTACATTCTCAAAGTTTTCTGAGTGATGCATTGACAATATTCTTTCTCTGTCATCATGGAATATTGTGGGAATGTTTTCTTGAAGAACGTTCTATAATGTGGTTCCTCAACAAATTTGCAAGCAGAATGTTCCACATTCTGTCATCTGAGGCCTTGATAACATCTAGAAACATGTTTTTGAATACTGGTTTGAGAACATTGTTCCTGTGTTATCATGAAACATAATCTGACAACATCCTCCAACGTTCTAAGAAAGTTCTAGTAATGGTTTCAGTGGGAAGTTCTGTTTCAGTTCCCAGAATGTTCCTATTCAAGGTGGGAGAACTACAGAAATTGTGCTCTAGATCAGTGTGCTCTAAATTCAAGTTTTCTGATTGTTGCATTGAGAATATTCTTTCTCCGTCACAATAGTGGAATATTGTGTGAATGTTTTCTTGTAGAATGTTGTGTAATGTGTTTTATCAGCAAATTTGCAAGAAGAATGTTCCACGTTCTGTCATCTGAGGTCTTGATAACATCTAGAAACATGTTTATGAATACTGGTTTAAGAACATTCTTCCTGTGTTGTCATGAAACATAATCTGACAACATCCGCCAATGTTCTAAGAAAGTTCTAGTAATGGTTTCAGTGGGAAGTTCTGTTTCAGTTCCCAGAATGTTCCTATTCAAGGTGGGAGACCTACAGAAGTTATGCTGTAGATCATTGTGTGCTAACGGTCTGAAAGTTTTCTGGGTGACGCATTGAGAATATTCCTTCTCTGTCATCATCGTGGAACATTGTGTGAATGTTTTCATGAAGAACGTTCTGTAATATGTTTCATCAGTAACTTTGCAGGCAGAATGTTCTATGTTCTGTCATCTGGACAGCACTTTTTTTGGATGTTGATTTGAGAGCGTTCTTCCTGCGTTATCATGGAACATAATCTGACAACATCCTCCAAACACCCTCTGAATGTTGCAGCTGAACTGTTGTCTCAATTGACTTTATTTTATTTGTTTCTTTTATCTCGTAGGAACATTATTTAAAAAGATAGACGTCTTAAAAACCTTTGCAACAACTCTGTGGTCTGGAAAACAATTTTTTTGGATGTTCTTGCTTTGTTATCATGGAACACAATCTGACAGTGTCCCCTGAATGTTGCTAAAATGTTGTTTTAATTAAGCTTTAGCCTCACAGGAACATTATTTAAAAAGATAAACATCCCTGAAACCTTCTTTAGAGATTAGATTAATACTCATAGGGGGTGTCGGCCAACGTTGAGGGAACGTTTGCTGCTAGCTGGGTTGTGTGTTTGTGTGACTGCTGCTCTCTGTGACGCTACAAACTGAGACTGCTTGCTCCCTGAGCTGTGTTGTTAATGTCACTCAGCGTAAAGAAGGCCTATTAGTAAATGAGGTGATAAAGGAGCGCTTGATTTGTGCGCGCTGACGATTGATTGAGGAGGAAACCTTGTGAGGACCTTGGTGTTTATGAGTCCTGTGAGCTGTCCGTGGTGCTGAAAATTCATCTTAGTGTTTTTTCTCCCTCCTCTTCATCCCGACTGCTTTTTACCTCCATTTTTCTCGCCGCTGTCCTCAGTGCTTTACTGATCGATTTTGCGATTACACTCATTCACACCCGAGCCGCACTCATTTCACAGGCTTTCATAGTTCTTTAACAAGTCAGTTTTAGCAGAACTGTAAAGCAGCGCTCTCGGTGTTCTTCCCCGGTTCAGTTGTCTCCGGGTTAGAGATTAGGACTCATGCTCCTTGATGCATACGTGGACATCGAGTATACATCTGTGTTGTGTTTACTGTTCCAGAAATCTTCTTATGTTGCTCCCTTAGCCAGGTCTCTCACAGAAACAAGAATCCAATCTCAGTACAACAAGATCTGGTTCCGTGTCCTTGCTTCTACTTAGAGAACATAACGTTATTTTTGTGTCCCCTACATTGGTCAGCCAAAGAGAAGCCGCCACCAGAAGCACCACAGATCCGTAAGCTGCTTTAAAGAAATAAATAAATAAAAAAATAGTGATTATTTGCCTGCAGTTGAAAGGTTACCGGTGTGTTCCCTTCTGGCAGCCGCGGATTATAGCTCGCATTGAGTACTTTCTAACCTTCACCGGTCTTGGAAAAAGTCATCCGCGCTCTATCTCTTCTCATGTGGGTTGTTGTAATTCACTTTATGCAGGGCTCAGGCCTAAGGCAATCCCCCCACCTGCATTTAATCCAAAATACTGCACCTATAGGCTTTTGCCTAATGCTAAGAGATGAGGATGTTTTATGTTATGCTTTTTTTTTTTTTTCCTCACTGGTTGTATCCGTGAAAAATTCAGGCTTTACTGGGTCAAGGTCCTCAATGCATTTTATGTTACCCCCTGACATTTATGGGCCCCCTGGCTTACTGTGTCCTTGCATTTTTTTCTTTTTGGGATTTGTTGTTATTTGTTGTTATTTTTCTGCTGTATTCTGATTTATCTTGCTGTAGCTTTGCTAGCCCCGTGAGGAGGAAGACTGTGCAGCCATACACAGCTTTTTGTCGACATGCATGTTGAAAAGAAGCAATAAATGTCCTAATTGTGTCTTAATAGTCTCAATACAACTGATCTGCAGCCTAAAATTCTGAGGGAACGTCCGTGCACCTCACATCAGACGTGATCTCAAACTGCCTCGGACAGAATACTAATGACAAAATTGACCCTGTTTTTTTTTTACCCCCCAATCAATTTTACACACATTTCAAGTTGCCTCTAATCTGTGGATCGAAGGATGTTCATTGTTCCTGCAGTGAATGAAGGGTTTGCAGAGAGTTCAGGTCATTTCTCAGGTCACTCATGTGTTTGTTTCTTTTTTAGACCAAGTGGAAGCCAAACCAAAGATAAATGAAAATCGGTGTTGCACCACCTCTCGTGCCATCTTTCAGTATTTCTTTATTCCCACGTGTGCAAATCCTATTTTAATCCTATGGCGTTCTATTTTAATCCCTGCTATCCATAATGACTATATGGTGCCTGGAACTATGACGACTAGTTATCCTGCTTCCACTGCTGCCTGGCCTGTTATTAGCCCGACGAGGCCGGCACCCAGCCAGCAGCGGAGAAGCACTGTCTAAGATAAAATCCCCCTGGAGGTCATTAATGCTCGAGTTCAGTTATTTTTATACCTTCTCAGTTTAGTCTAAATGTTATTACAGGCTTTTAGAACTGTAATCATTTTAACCTTTTAAACTCCGCCAGCCTCGCTATCCAGTCCATCGTGTCGTGCAGCCCAACAATCTGCATTAATATTCTGGTGAATATGCGAGGTGGTGTTGTTTGTGGTTTGCAGCGTAAAGAAAAGCACCTTGAGTTGGAGCTCGATCCGGCCGTCGTAAACCTTCAGTGATGAGTTGGAACAAGCGGAAAATGCGATTGTCTGTTTTGGTAAAAACAAAAAAACAAGCTTTTCCACTTCCTCTGTGTTACGCAAACTTTTCACTTAAACGAATTGTAGTCAGACTATTGAGCTGCTGATCGATTCTAAAAGCACTCACTCCTTGTTCGAACACCCTAAATACT